AAAGGGGAAAACATTTAACCAGATTTAAAAAAAACACTGGGTGGATTTGTATCATTATAGGGTGGTTGTGTACACACACTGCCAACACACATTTCAGTTCAAACAGCTTGTAAAAGTGCGTGTAGCATCCTATGACCCCTTTAACTAATAGGGGCCCCTGTGGTGACAAGTTTGTAGTATGCTGCTTTCCTGGCCATGAGCTCCTCGTGGGTCCCTTTCTCGATGACCACGCCCTGTGACATCACAGCGATGATGTCAGCAGTCTGAATGGTGGAAAGCCTGTGAGCAATGACGATACACGTGCGTCCCTGACGGGCCTCGTCAAGCGCAGCCTGAACAACCTGAAGATTGAAAATCAAAGATATTTTGTGCATTAAAACGTTATTCAGAAATACAGGCATCAGTGCTGAGTGGAGTACTTTTAACCTCCTAATATTATTCTTAGATTAATTTTAGGTAATATAATGCAACTACGTTTTTATTACATTTAGATTTCTTTTAACTAGTGCTGTCAAATGATTAATCGCGATTAATCGCATCCAAAATAAAATATTTTGTTTACATAATATGTGTGTGTATACTTTGTATATTTATTATGTATATATAAATACACACACATACAATATATATTTTGAAAATATTTCCATGTATTTCCATGTATATATTTATATTCATATAATTGATATTATAGATAAATATTTTAAATGTACTAACTTCACATATTTTTCTTAAATATATACATGCATGTGTGTGTATTTATATATACATAATAAATATACAAAGTATACACACACATATTATGTAAACAAAAACTTATTTTGGATACGATTAATCGTGATTAATCGTTTGACAGCACTACTTTTAACCCCTGGGCATGTGATCTAAAGCTCAAATCTAATTGGACGGCTTGTTTCATCGCAGGGCAACGGGTAAAAAAAATTAAATCAAAACTGGTCGAAATAAAATCTCGCTAGAGACTGTTCGCACCTAATGTGAATAGCTCCATAGGGATCTATTGTTTTGATTCAAGAACGTTATTGTGTACATTCGTGTCGCTTAATCAAGCTCAGTGTGAAAGGCCCCTACTTTGATTTGAATAGAATCTTGTACCATATTGATATAAAAATAAAAGATTTCATTTATTTATTCCATTTTTTGTTATCAGCAACATGAAGTGCATTACACTATGTCAGGGTTTCCCAAACCAGAGTTTGTGAAGGAACTACAGGGGTTTGTAAATGATTAAAAAGCTAATAATTAAAAATTACATCTTAAATATGCTAAAGTAAAATAAATATTTTTAAAATAAAAATAAAAAAATCTAAATAAAACCCTCGTTGTGTGTGCAATTCCACAAAATTGGAAGACTATCATATATTAGAAATAGGCTTTTTTAGAAACGAAAATTTAAATGATTAAAAAATAGAGAAAAATCAATGAATTAGGAATAACTTGCTGCCATTTTGTGAATATTAAGGAATCATGTAATCAATAAAATTTACTGTAGTCTGATTATCAGTATTTTAAAACATAATATAATCTAATAACGTTTTGGAATTTGATTATGTAATTCAGATTACATATAATCAGTTACTACTCAGCATTGAAGACAATATTGAGAAAGTGTGAAATTTGGCTGGTGGTAAATTACAGTCAGACTATAAAATAAGTGCAATCACACACTGATATAGTTTTACCTTCTCACTCTCAGTATCGAGTGCAGACGTGGCCTCATCCAGCAGCAGGATTTTAGGGTTTCTGACGATGGCTCTTGCGATCGCTATGCGCTGTTTCTGTCCACGGGATAACTGAGAGCCTTGAGCACCGACCTGAGTTTCATATTTCTGGAAAGCACAACAATAATCCAGAAAATCTATTTTTTTAATGGAACGGTTTATTGAAAATGTAAAAAAAAAACAGTTTGCACGTGTTTCATGCTGATCATTTAGATACCTTCATGTATCAAATATGGTACAGTAGGCTTAAAGCCAAAAAAGATTCTGGTCTTATGTACGATTCATCAGTGCTTGTAATTCCAAATGTTTGTGTTCATAACAATTTAGCAGAAGGTCATTTCCAGGAATTTCCCATTTGAATCAATGGCAGCGGCTCGACTGGTGCATGAAGTATGTCTAACTGACCATACTAACATGTTTCTTTCTGAATAACTTGCTTTAGTTGTAAATACATTCAATTATAGACAGAAAATGAGATGAACAACATTTCATGTAGCCACATTTAAACTTGATATCTGTAAATCCAAATAGTCAAGTCATGAATAAAATGAATGCATAACTTACATCAGGTAGTGTCATCACAAAATCGTGCAGATAGGCCTTCTTAGCAGCCTCTATAATCTCCTCCATGCTCACGGTACGAGAATTATCGCCATACTGGATATTCTCTGCAATACTGCAGTCGAACAGCACTGGCTCTTGGGATACGATGCCAATCTGAGACCTCAGGAAGGGCACGCTGATGCTCGCAGACGGACGTCCATCGATCAGCTAGGGCAAGAGCAGAAAGTCATGGTTTGTTTGTCACAATCAAGGATTTTGCATTTCATCTTGCTTATTAAGAGATATTTTAATAGCTGCAATTCCTTGTGTGTTTTTATCAAAATGGCAAGATTATTTAAACTAGATTTGACATTTTTAACTCTTACATTGTGAATCTTTTAAAATATATGTGGTAATAATTCTTGCAATAATGCAATGGCTTCAGTTTTAAGCGAACTCTGAGCAAATTAATAATACATTAAAATGTATTACGAATATGTGGCCATGGACCACAAAACCAGTCATAAGGGTAAATTTTTTAGAAATTGAGATTTATACATCATCTGAAAGCTGAATAAATAATAAATAAGCTTTCCATTGATTTATGGTTTGTTAGGATAGGACAATATTTGGCCGAGACACAACTATTTGAAAATCTGGAATCTGAGGATGCAAAAAAAATCTAAATATTGAGAAAATCACCTTTAAAGTTGTCCAAATGAAGTTTTTAGCAATGCATATTACTAATCAAAAATTAGTATAAGTTTTGATATATTAACGATAGGAAATTTACAAAATATCTTCATGGAACATGATCTTTACTTAATATCCTAATGATTTTTGACATAAACGTACAATCGATAATTTTGACCCATACAGCGACTTATGACTGGTTTTGTGCTCAAGGGTCACATATTGTTGGCTCTGTGACAAAATGCTTTTGTTCTGCTTTGTAAGTTGTTTTGGATAAAAGCATCTGCTAAATGCATTTATGTAAAGAAGCAACAAATGTGGTTTCATACCACTTGTCCTTCATCGGGTTCGTAGAATCGCTCCAGCAGCTGAACGCTGGTGCTCTTCCCACAGCCGCTGCTTCCCACAAAAGCAAGAGTCTGTCCTGGATGTACTGACACCTCCAGACCCCTCAAAACCTGGATGTCTGGCCTGCTGGGATACGTGAACCTGCACCCTTTGAATTCTATTAGGCCCTTAAAGTCATCCTGTAACAGCATAGAAGAGAACATTGGAAAGTAAAGTAACAACTGGGAGGGAAAAAACAGATACACTCTTACCCAACTTTGTCCTTCTGTTTTGCTGATGCTAATTTTGGGAACCCTGTCCAACAGTTTGAAAAGTTGGGCAGCAGCTATCTTGGCCTTGGCGTAATCTGGTGTGAAAGATGAAGCTCTGCCAAGTGCAGTGGCACTGGTCACCAGAGCTGAAATGACTCTGTGGAATAAACACACACAGCATCTATTCATGACACTCATTACTTGATCGACTGGTATATTTCAAACAATTCCCTTTAGTGAATTATACATGCTTATAACTGATGCTTAGCTGTAAATACTGCATGCATTTCTATGCATTAATACAGACATTAACTAACCTGAACACCATCATATATGGAAGCCCCTCATTACTGACCAGATAGCCGCCGTATCTAAAAGAGGCAGCGAAGGCCATGAAAATGACACACTGGGCGAATGCAAAACAGATCCCATAAACATGAGCTTTCTTCTTTGCCCCTTTATATGGTGCTTGCAGTTGCTCTTCATATTGAGACACAAAGTGTTTCTCTTTGGCTAAACCTGCGATGGTCCTGATGTTGCTCAGAGCTTCACTGGACACCTGTATGAACAGACATATGCATAGCAAAAATAATGATCATTTTTTTGGACAGGATTCTCGTTTGTGAAATAGGCCAGAGCAAAACATGCAGGACAAAAGCTTGGGTTCAGCAAGATGTTTTTGAAAGAAGTCTGTTTTGCTCACCAAGGCTGCATTTATCTGATCAAAGTACAGTAAAATCAGTAATATTGTGAAGTATTATTAAAATTTAAAATGTCCTATTTTAATATATGTGTTTTAAAATTTAATTTATTCCTGTGATGCAAAGCTCCGTTTTCAGTGTCACATGATCCTTCAGAAATCATTCTAATATGCTGATTTGCTGTTCAAGAAACATTTCTTATTATTATCAGTGTTGAAAACAGTTGTGCTGCTTCATATTTTTGTAGAAACCCTGACACATTTTATTTCAGGGTATTTGATGAATAAACACTGTTCTTTTGAACTTTCTATTTGAAATGGGAATCATTTGAGACATTATAAATATCTTTACTGTCACTTTGATCTATTTAATGCATAATCATTTCTTTAAAATCTTACTGACCCCAAACTTTGGAATGGAAGTGCATGACATTTATTCCTGTTAAAATATATTCACATATTACTGACTGAACAGATAGGGATAGATAACAATTATTTTAGCAATTTTGAGGTACACCAATATAATTCATATGTAATGCTAAATGCTACATAAAAACAATACTATTTAACATATCATGTGTTTCTTAAACTAAAGTACTATTTACTGCAAAAAAAAAACTCCAAATGTTCATCTTTCACAATACTAAATACTTCACCAGTACATTGTTTTAAGTACATGGCTGATTTATTTTGAATGGGATATTATGAAATTAATGACTTCAGTCATTCAAATTAACGAGTAGGCCAAAAACTACTCTGACTGATTATTAAGTAGTGGATTCAAAGAAAATATTATGACTTTGCAGCTGATTTTCTGACCGATTCATTAAAAAGAACCCATGATTCATTCGCAAGTCTGACTACACTGGTTGCATTTTACGCATATGTATCTGCTGCCTCAGTGAAGGCATGAATGTTGCATTTAAATGAATGAATCCGCAAAAAAAAAACTCCAAATGTTCATCTTTCACAATACTAAATACTTCACCAGTACATTGTTTTAAGTACATGGCTGATTTATTTTGAATGGGATATTATGAAATTAATGACTTCAGTCATTCAAATTAACGAGTAGGCCAAAAACTACTCTGACTGATTATTAAGTAGTGGATTCAAAGAAAATATTATGACTTTGCAGCTGATTTTCTGACCGATTTATTAAAAAGAACCCATGATTCATTCGCAAGTCTGACTACACTGGTTGCATTTTACGCATGTGTATCTGCTGCCTCAGTGAAGGCATGAATGTTGCATTTAAATGAATGAATTCAAACTTATTTAACATGACTTTTATTGTACCTGTCCAGCAGCCTCCAATGCATTTTTATCCTCATTAGCAAATCCTGTCAGCATTTTAGCCTGAAAAACTCCAGACAGGCCGATGAGAGGAAGGAAGCAAGTGACCACTAGACTCAGTTTCCAGCTGAAGTAATACGCAATAATGAAGGAAGCACCGATGTTGGTCAGTGAATTTACAATCATGCCGATCTGTGAACCTGCAGCCTTTGGTGAAGAGCACATTAAACACAATCAAACATACACTTAACCATATAAAAGATCTTAAATCTTTAAAGGGGCATATCATACATTTTTTATAATGTCATTTTTCCCACTAAAGTCCTCTGAAAATATTTGTTTTGACTGTCATAAATTTGTTCGCTTTTGACTTTACAAGTCACGCCCCTTGCTTATGAAATCAGTGCTTTTTTAAATGTAATGTCATGTAACTGCTTCCCCCTAAAGTCCCATTTATAGCGTTAGTAAAGTCCCAAATTCGGTCCTAATTTTGTTTTCATATCCATTTTCTATGTTCTCTCTGATCCTTAGATTTAAATACGAAGTTTTCGCTTCTGCACCTTTAAGAAACACCCCATTTGCGTATTAAAATGAGTGCTTTCTCCAGCTTTGCAACATTTTTTATTATTGCATTTTCTTGTAAACCTTGAAGGGGCATATGAAACTTTTCAGTCCACTTATAATGTTTGTAAAGTTTCTATGTGCCAAAATCAGTCACAAGTGTGTTTTATATCCCTTTTTTGTGCTGTCTTTTGGAATTAAAAATTATCCCCTTTGCATAAGAAATGAGAGCTTTATTCATTATACAGAGGAATGTGGTTGCTGAAACTGTTTGGTTACCCACATTCTTCAAAATAACTTATTTTGTGTTCAACAGAAGAAATAAATATTGGTATGGAGTAGACCAACTTGGCATGAGTATATGACGACAGTAACTATCCCTATAAAGATGTAATTTGATGCAACTTTCTCCCTAAAGTTATAATGTTAGTAAAGTGTCTGAGTGCCAGAAACCTTCGGTAACAAATTTGTGTTTTTATCCATTTTAATGTCTGTTTTTTTGCTGCTGTGCCTTTATGAAACAACCCTTTGCATATGAAATGAATGTTTTCTCTAGTTTGCAACATTTTTTGTTATTATTGTATTTTCTTGTCTGTATCTTTTGTCACTCACCCCCTGCACCATGGAGGCGTCAGTGGCTAGTCTGGTAGTCAGAGCACCAGGACTGTTAATGGGGTTGTCGAACCAGCCGATCTCTTGCTTCAATATTGCCTGAAATCCAACCTTCCTCAGCCTGCGAGTCAACAGCTCTCCTGATTTGGCAAAAGAGTAGCCCTGCGATAAACATATCGCAGTATCGGTGATCTGCTGTAATATCACCACACACATTTCTCATGGGAAATGTTCAAATGTAGGTATACAAAACCTCAGCAAGGAACTGTGGAAATACCTGTAAGAACTGTGAAAAGAAGCTCAGGACTCCTATGCTGACAAACAAAATACAAATCCCGTTTATCTGCCTCCTCTGTTCATCCAGGTCTTGAATGGAGAATGTCTGAAAAGCAACCATGCTAATGTTAAACTCCGACTAAACTTATCATCAAGTTGATTATCTAGATAGCGCAGAGAATGCATACAATAGCACAGGCAATGTTTATATGGTTGCCAGCTAATGGGATGCTGAATTGTATTCAAAACCCTTTCAACAAGGTACACATCGAAATTCAATATTTAGGGATAGGGATTAAAGACAGAATTGCTTTAGCAAACAACACTGATCAGACTGTATCTTATGTTCATGCGTGTGTCTCACCCCAAGGATTTCACTGAATAAAAGAGCATAGATGGGGTTGACCGATCCATTGATGGCAGCACCTAAAGAGCCCAGCAGCATACATGGCCACTCGGGACGGTTATACCTCAGGATTCGTGCCACAGGAGCCGGTTCAATGACATCTTCATCTTTACCCTTGCTTTTCTGCAAGACAAGATAGGGAACTTTAGATAAAAATAGAAAGCATTGCATGTGCGATACTGTATTTAAATGTACTGGGTTCCAGACCTTGTTGTTTGCTTCAACTTCTAAATGGTCCGAGTGGATTTTGAATTTTCCAGATATGGCATCCGGAATGCTGTTTGACATTTGAGAATGTGATCGCTGTCTCAAAGAACGCCTATAGGAAAGGTGTTTTAGTTTAAAAACAGAACATTTTGGACTCTCCTCTCAAAATAATATCAAAAGCCTTAATGCACCTTAAGGCACTCTCGTAACTTCCTCTGCTGAAGCTCCTTACTTTCTCAAGTCCTTCCTCCTCTGTAATGGTCATCTCAGCAGCTGTGTGATTCAGTGTCATGTTAGTGTTTAAAGAAACCGTTCACCCAAAAATGTACATAATGTCATTGACCCTTATGTTGTTTAAAACTCCAAATCTCCATGCTGCTCTTTTCTAAACAATGACATTAAGATCCAAAAAGTACTAAACCACCTTCATGTGCTATTTTATTGCATCACTTCAGAAGAATATACTGCAATATAAAACTTATATGTTGTTGTGTTATTGTCGTTGACGGATGTAGTCACTATTGCTATGCTTCCATCCAAATGTGATAAATTAGAGCACTGCATAAAACATCTGAATATAAAGCATTTCCATCCCATGTTTTCAAGAGAACAAAATCTGAAAGACTGTTTCCACCACTGGATAAAACAATAAAAAATGTTCCCTCACAATTTTTACGTTTTTCTTGCAATTGCTTTTTTTTGTCTTGCTTGATATTGCATGATATAAATGTGCAATTCTGACTTTTTCTCACAACTGCAAGTTTATATCTCGTAATTCTGACTTTTCTCCGAATTATGAGATGAACTCACAACTGAGTTATAAAGCCCAATTGGCATCTTTTTTCAGAATTGCAAGTTTATGTCACACACTTCTAAGAAAAAAGTCAGAATTGCAAAGAAAATATATTTTTAAAAAGTCACAATTAGCTTTTTAATTTTTTTTAATTTACATAAAAATACATGGATGGACATGTAGCTTACAATGCATGAAAATTCACTAGTGAAATGATGCAAAATTGCTGCGTTCGTGTTTCACAGAAAAATACCAGCATACAGGTTTGTAATGACCTCCAAAACTCTCTGTACTCACTGTAGTCTGGTTTATCGCTGTCTGTATCCTTTCCTTGATTCTGCAGGGTTACTAGTGTGAAGTAAACTCCCTTTCTGTCCAGTAACTGGCTGTGCTTGCCTCTCTCTACAGCGCGTCCATGCTCAAAGCCCATGATCACATCGGCGTTACGGATGGTGGACAGACGGTGTGCGATGCTGATAGTCGTTCTTCCCTGTCTAGCCTGAAAAATGCCATTGAATGAATGTATGCAACAACAGTATATGGAAATATCTCTTTCTTGAACATACCTGCATTTGCTTACAAGTAACATTAAATTATAGGATACTAAAATTGTTGAACATAAAAAAAAGATATTTTAAAGAATGATGGTAATCAAACAGTTGATGGTCCCCATAGTATTTCTTTCCCTACTACGGAAGTCAACTGGTTCTTCAAAATATCTTGTGTCTAAGTGGTTGCTAGGGTGTTGCTGGACGATTCAGTGTCATGTTAGTGTTTAAAGAAACCGTTCACCCAAAAATGTACATAATGTCATTGACCCTTATGTTGTTTAAAACTCCAAATCTCCATGCTGCTCTTTTCTTAACAATGACATTAAGATCCAAAAAGTACTAAACCACCTTCATGTGCTATTTTATTGCATCCCTTCAGAAGAATATACTGCAATATAAAACATTTATGTTGTTGTGTTATTGTCGTTGACGGATGTAGTCACTATTGCTATGCTTCCATCCAAATGTGATAAATTAGAGCCTAAATGGTTGTCGGGTGGTCTCTAGGGTGTTGCTGGGCCCTTAAGGTGTTCTAAATGGTTGCTGGGCCCTTAAAGTGTTCTAAATGGTTGTCGGTGGTCTCTAGGGTGTTGCTGGGTCCTTAAGGTGTTCTAAGTGGTTGTCGGGTGGTCTCTAGGGTGCTGCTGGGCCCTTAAGGTGTTCTAAATGGTTGTCGGGTGGTCTCTAGGGTGTTGCTGGACGCTTAAGGTGTTCTAAGTGGTTGCTGGGCCCTTAAGGTGTTCTAAATGGTTGTCGGGTGGTCTCTAGGGTGCTACTGGGCCCTTAAGTTGTTCTAAATGGTTGACGGGTGGTCTCTAGGGTGTTGCTGGACGTTTAAGGTGTTCTAAGTGGTTGCTGAGCCCTTAAGGTGTTCGAAATGGTTGTCGGGTGGTCTCTAGGGTGTTGCTGGACGCTTAAGGTGTTCTAAGTGGTTGCTGGGCCCTTAAGGTGTTCTAAATGTTTGCTGGGCCCTTAAGGTGTTCTAAATGGTTGTCGGGTGGTCTCTAGGGTGCTGCTGGGCCCTTAAGGTGTTCGAAATGGTTGTCGGGTGGTCTCTAGGGTGTTGCTGGACGCTTAAGGTGTTCTAAGTGGTTGCTGGCTTCCTAAGGGTCTCTAAACGGGTTCTTGGCCCTTAAGGTGTTCTAAATGGTTTTCGGGTGGTCTCTAGGGTGTTGCTGGGCCCTTAAGGTGTTCTAAATGGTTGCTGGGCCCTTAAGGTGTTCTAAATGGTTGTCGGGTGGTCTCTAGGGTGCTACTGGGCCCTTAAGTTGTTCTAAATGGTTGACGGGTGGTCTCTAGGGTGTTGCTGGACGTTTAAGGTGTTCTAAGTGGTTGCTGAGCCCTTAAGGTGTTCGAAATGGTTGTCGGGTGGTCTCTAGGGTGTTTCTGGGCCCTTAAGGTGTTCTAAATGGTTGTCAGGTGGTCTCTAGGGTGTTTCTGGACGCTTAAGGTGTTCTAAGTGGTTGCTGGGCCCTTAAGGTGTTCTAAATGTTTGCTGGGCCCTTAAGGTGTTCTAAATGTTTGCTGGGCCCTTAAGGTGTTCTAAATGTTTGCTGGGCCCTTAAGGTGTTCTAAATGTTTGCTGGGCCCTTAAGGTGTTCTAAATGTTTGCTGGGCCCTTAAGGTGTTCTAAATGTTTGCTGGGCCCTTAAGGTGTTCTAAATGTTTGCTGGGCCCTTAAGGTGTTCTAAATGTTTGCTGGGCCCTTAAGGTGTTCTAAATGTTTGCTGGGCCCTTAAGGTGTTCTAAATGTTTGCTGGGCCCTTAAGGTGTTCTAAATGGTTGTCGGGTGGTCTCTAGGGTGCTGCTGGGCCCTTAAGGTGTTCTAAATGGTTGTCGGGTGGTCTCTAGGGTGCTGCTGGGCCCTTAAGGTGTTCGAAATGGTTGTCGGGTGGTCTCTAGGGTGTTGCTGGGTGCTTAAGGTGTTCTAAGTG